TCCGTGCACAACTGTAAACAATATTGCAGAACATATTGGAACTGAACCTTCAACACACACAGGTCTGTAAATCATTCATGAAATTGTTCAATTTTTAAGACGTTTTCAGGAAAATAAAGAGATATTTTTTATATAAAATTAGCTTGACAGATTTTAGTTCAACATTTTTGTATGTAATGACTCAAGTAATGAAATGAGCACTATTAGTTTAATATGGGATGACTATTCCGCATTCACAAGTTTAGTTAATTTTGACTGACATAAGCAAATGATAATGTTATAAATAGCAGAGAGTTGTATGAAAGCAGTTGATGCATGTCCAAAAAGCATTTGCAATTTGTGGGAAAGAATGAGAAACTGCTACTAGGATGTGCACAAATGACTGACTGTTTTGAGAAATGCATTACCTGTTGCGCAAATGTAACTAGTGTAGTGAGAAATGCACCAAAGCGACTGAGAAAAACTGTAAATGAAGAAAAGATTCATGCAGCTTCTCTAACCTCAGCAAATTACATTTTTACTTTTGATATTTGGTTCCAGATAATCAAGAAGTGATGATTTTGTTCTCTTTTACTCATTAGGTGGAAACTTTTTTTTTTGCATGTCTTTTATGTGATATTCTAGTCTTGCGCATAAAATTAAAAAAAAAATTTGAATTGAATCTTTGGATGGAAACAGCTATTGATGCACATTGACTTATTCTTCCTACATTTGCAATGTTTCCAAACTGCATTGTTAGTCATTTTTCTTCCCAATTTTTTTTCTGTTTTATGTATTGTTTTCTGTAAAGCTGCTTCTGACCATGACGTGTCCACACTAAATGGTAATATGAGATGCGTTTAAGAGATTCTATGCAACATCCTTCATTTATTCTCTTAGGTGAGGCCAGATCCACTAAAGTAACACACTTAAGAGGTAAAATGTGCTTTATTACTTTTGAAATTTTGTAGTTTGTAATATTTTTTTGCTCGAGTTTAAATGTATTACATTGGCTAAAAGATTATTTTATTAAATGTTTCTGATCAATAAAACTGTTTTGTTCGAATGCACCAAAATATATTAGGCCTACTTTTAGTCACAGAAAAATTGATATAAACATTAACTTCTAATGATATAAACTACAGGTAAAAAGTTTGGGGTCAGTAGGACTTTTTTATATTTTAAAATAAGTTTATAAGCTTATTATTATTAAAATAAGCTGCTCACCAAGGCTGCCTATTGATGCAATTGATCAAAAATACAGTACAAATTGTAAAATTTTATTGCACTATAAAATAACTGTTCAAAAATAGTTATTTTATATATAGAAAAAATAGAAATTAAAATAGAAAATAGAATTTAGTATAATAGTTTATTCCAGTGATTGTAAAGATGAATTTTCAGCTTCATTACTCCAGTCTTATGAGTCACATGATTCTTCAAAAATCACTCTAATGTGATTTATGCATTATTGAAGTTATATGAAACTTGAAGCATCAGAATCGGTATCAGCTTGACACCATGACAAGGAATCGATACTCGATATCAGCTTCAAAAGTACTGATCAGAGCATCCCTAGTACAACTTACTGCACCTGAATCCAGTCACAGGCCTTAAAAATAAACTTTTTAGGCCTTAAAAGATAAACTTTTACTATATTATAGTTAAACTCTACAAATCTCAAAATGTTTGCAAAATTATGGCTCTTCCTCAACTGTACACTCAACATTGCAGATCCAGTGATGTGACTATTGCAGATGTGCACATTGCAATATCAATGCTGAAGCGATATATTGCTCAGCCCTAATTCATATAGCTAAAAATGTGATGAAAAAATATTAAGACTCATCATGCACTGTAAAAATAATGATGACAAAAGTTTGACAACAAATGTTTTGTTACTTTAACTTATTTGAATAAGTTAATCAACTAATTTTCTTAACTATTATATATGGTTTAGCGTAATATCTTTGTTAGTTAAATATATGTTGTCGGTTAATGTGTTGAGATACCTAGAAAATTTCAAGTTGAGATAACTAGAAAGTTGCATTTATTTCATCAAAGGTAAAGTACAAATTGTAAAATTGTGAAATGTTATTTCACAATAAAATATTCGAAAATTCGAAAGTAGCTTATAATTTAATTTAATAATTTTATCAAGAGATTTTAATGAATTTTCAGCTTCATTGCTCACATGATCCTTCAGAAAGTACTACTATATTAATTATTATTGTTATTATTATTAATGGTAATAGTACTAAAATCAATAATGATTAATTTAAAAATTAATTTCATTTGAAACTACATACAATAAGCAAAAAATTAATATTTAATAAATAAGTATTTAACAATTACATTTTTTTATAAATGCTGCCTTGATAAAAAGAATAATTTTATTTAAATTATTTATTTAAATTAATAATAAAAAAAAATTGACCCTAAACTTTTGACTAGTGTGTGTATATTCATATACATACATACACAATATGGAATTTGCAAATGTTATGGGACATGATCTTTACTTAATATTTTTCAAGTTTTTGGCATAAAAGAAAAATCACATATAACAAATTAAAATAAACAAATAAAATCAATTCAACATAAGAGATCTTGTGGGACAGGAGGTTCACATTTTCTCTAAATTAATCCCTGATTTATTTTGAGACAGAAAACAAACACTGCTAAAGTATAGAGCTACTCATAAATTGTGATAAAGTGTGGTTCATCATAAAGTTGGGTTTGAATTATTTTCTCACCTCAGGAAAACTACGACACGATGCGATCTCGGAGTCGGACAACTGTTTTGATATCGTCAGAAATGATGACGAACACGCGCCAGCTACCCTCAAACACACTTTAAAACCCTAAAAAAAAGACTAATCAAAAGTCTCAATAGGCAACATGTCCTCTTAGTAGGCCTATTCGGACATGTTAGAACATGCACGCATGCCACATCACAACTACAATTGATAAGAGTCACTAATTTAGCGCTTTGAATAGACCTGTTCAAAAGAATTGATTCCCGGACCTGACAAAACATCAACTATTGCACTGAACAGTTAATCATACACCTGTAAGTGTGAATAATATAAATGTGTCTTTTTAACGTGCGTTAAACAAATTATTTGTTGGAAGAATTGCTAAGTTTGTTCGTTTTAAAATGATGAATAATAATGAACGAATGCCGCCTTCTGTATTAACGCAATGTCATTTTGACTGATGTAGTGAATAATACCTTCAAAAGGGTCACTCGAGAGCCCTGGCCTGAATGAGCTGTCATCAGGAATTTTAAAACAGGATTACCTGGCATCCCGCTAAATGAATTTGCTGAGTACAATGTCTACAGAAAGCCGCTAAAAGCCGAGCAAATGGACTGTTTGCGAAAATGCCATCGCTGTGGAAGTCTGATTAAGACACGGGCTTCAGTCCTGTTTGATCTGAGCTCATCAAAGGCTCCTTTACACAAGCTTCATTTTACACCACTGTAGGCTTTGGATGTACAATTAAAACAAAGCCAATAGACAAAGGGATGGGGATGAACCCTGCCAATTCACGTTTAATGAAGTGTATTGAGCGTTTGTCCTGTGCCCGTCTATTAGAAGTGACCCCTGTCAACAACATCAAAGACGCTGATTTGGGAGTTATCCCGGAGTATTGGGCAGGGAGACACTTTGAAATTGTTAAATCATTTGGGCAGCTCATGTCCGCCAGTAATGTTGCAATTCTGTGGTCAAATTTAAGAGTAATGTATTATATTTGCTGTACAATTTTTGAGTCACACATGTACATTGCTCGGTTCACTTAAATAATATTAACCTAATTCAAAAAGCGGACCTTTCTATTAATCTGTTTTATAATTGTATTGTTCATATCTATAATAAAACAGATCAATAGATGAACCACGCCACCTATAAAAGCGTCACGTTCTTATCTTCGGTCGCTAATCACGCACTATGTATTTAAAAGCCAGACTGAATGATAATTAATTCGGTAAACTTCTCACTTCTTTCTTATTTGCATATTCACTTTGATCTTTATGCACTTGTTTAATCAAACGCATTTCAAAGAGCCCCGTTATGACTGATGGTTCAACCTGCATTTCTAATATACAAACTCACCGAGGAAAATGGCAGGGGGGGAAATGTGTTTTTTTTTTTTTTCAATGAATGACATCCATTTAAAATATTTTAAATTACATTTAAAGTACTTTTTTATATATCCAATTACAATTTAAAATAGAAAAGCAATTAAATAAACAGGCCGCAACAATAAGAATACAATCACCAAGACAAGAAATACAATTTACGACTTTAACACAATCATCATCTAAATAATAATTTATTAATGTTCCAATATCACAAAAATATTCATAAAGGTGTTGATTTCGAGTAATGGGTCTATAGTTCGGGTTTCCTTGGTCCGGAATCTCAACAAGATTGCTGTATTTAAATATAGAATAACTATTTTTATTATTTATTATTATGTATTTGTACTTTTTTATTCTATAAATAAATAAAGGTTATTTTAAGTTACAAAATCCCACGAATATTACTGTTAAAAGATTGTTTTAGACTGACCATCAATAGCACTATAGCCAAAATATAGTTTCTCGGTTTTCTCTATAAAATTCAAAGTTGTATAATTCATCAGTGTAACTTTATATCACTTTGATTTTGCATGCAAAAAATAAATAAATAAATATTGGTAGCTTAATAAAAACTGCCAATCCTACAGTCTCTATGAAGCTTCATCAAACATAAGCATACTTCGCACAGCTTTTCCCATCAAATAAGCACTATTACTGTGGTGTCTGTTTGATGCCAGCTCATAAAGACGTGCATTCACTGATAGACAGACAGCTCATGACACAACGCTTTGAAATTTCATCCAGCCCTTTGTTGCTCACAGCAAGGGGCGGGAGCGCAAACAACCCCGCGCGCGTATAAATGAAGCGGCTTGCGCTCATGAGGAACCACAGAAGAGCTCCGCTCACCCAGGGAATACATCCTACAATTCAAGGAATAACATGATGCACATCGCCATGCTCTCTACTGCATGCCTCATTTTTATGGGCTGCATCAAAGTGGCCGGTTCTACGATGCTCAACTCCAACGCTATTAAAGTCGGTTCAGGTGCGGCGGGTGCCAGTCATCCGGTTAGCCCGAGTCCGGACGTGTCACTTTTGGACAGTCTGAACTTCGCCCTCGATACACCGCAGGTAAGCATAGAAATATGCATATGCTATGTCAGACAGCTGGTGGTTTTTAGACTAATAGTGTATTTCCAAACCTCCAGCAGCCTTTAATCTGTGAGAGTGATGAGGAATGCGGTGGAGAGGAGTTTTGCTTCCAGTCTCGCGGTGTCTGTCTCCAGTGCAAGAAGCGCAGGAAGCGCTGCATCCGGGATGCGATGTGCTGCCCTGGCAACCACTGCAGCAATGGTAAGATCAGACTCGTGTAACGCGGAGAATGCACATATTTTTTATTTACTATCATGTAGTTTGAGGTTTATAGCGTTGGATAATATTGACGAAACCTTTCGTTATAGGTGTTTGCATTCCAAATGACCCTGACATGATTCAGCAGCTTGGCATGGAAGAGTTCGTGTCCATCGCCCATGAAAACTCTACTGCTCTAATGCCGAAAGTTTCGACTCAAGGATCACCACAAAACCAGATGCTGAAAGGTATGCAATGTTATGTTTATATGTTTGCATTTGACCTAATAATGTATGTGTGGATTAGATTCGAATATGTTTCCGCTCTGTAATAGCAACTTTGCAGATTTTTATTGCTTGTTTAAAATCAGAAAGTATGTATAGGTGTTTCGAAAAAGAATATTGAATATGGTCAAATTAGTCTTATAAGCATTCAAAAGGAGTGTTTACAAAAAAATGCATATCTTGTCATAATTGATTTATTCTCTCTTCATTTGTTCCAAATCTGTTTGAGTTATTATTGAACCCAAAGAAAGATATTTTGAAGAAGGATGAAAACTGGTAGCATCGACTTCCATAGTATTTGTCTTTCAGGCATTGGTTACCAGTTTTCAGCTTTCTTCAAAATATATTTTGTGTTCAACAGAAGAAAGAAATGCATACGGGTTTGAAACCATTCGTGAATAGCAAGTAAATTCCATTATTTTATAGTGAAGTCTTTCTTTAAGACCGCATTTTCAATGTAATGCAATGCCTTTTAAAGACCAGGTTAATATAACAATTCACTCCAAAATGTACATTCTGTCATTATTTATTAGATATTTTGAGAGAAATCATAAGACATTGACATTCATAGTACTTTTGTTCTACTTCGGAGGCGATTACCTAACAGTATACAACATTCTTCAAAGTATCTTCTTTTGCGTTCAACAAGTAAAAAAGGCATTTAGGGTGAATCCCCCCTTTAAAAGATCAACTTTATTTTAATGTGTGGTGTGTGCATGATATTAATGAATGTTGTTGTGTTTTTGAAGGTCTGGAGGGAGAGAACTGTCTGAGATCATCAGATTGTGCAGAGGGACTTTGCTGCGCTCGTCACTTTTGGTCCAAAATCTGCAAGCCTGTCCTAAAAGAGGGCCAGGTCTGCACCAAGCACAAGAGGAAAGGCACTCATGGCTTGGAGATATTCCAGCGCTGCGACTGCGGGGAAGGCCTGTCCTGCAGAACGCAGCGAGGAGACGGCGGCAAGGCTTCACGGAGTCTGCACACATGCCAGAGACACTAAATGAAAATTCAAGGAATTTTCTTTCACCAGCTCCCAGAGAAGCAGACTTGAGTCGAGGGAAGCAGGACTTGGAATGGGATACTCTGTTTTTCAACTGGTTTCCTTCATATTCTCGAGTCAACATTGAAGAGTAGATTTAATTGTTTCTCAACGGAACTTAAATAATTGCAGTAAATTACTGTATTATACTGTAAATAATATAAGGCAGTTGGCACTTAAATATTTTTGTCAACCCTGTTATGAAAGAAGGTGCATCAGTCTTTTCTAGTCTACCTTAAATGTATATACATTCATTCTACAGTCATATAGAGCTGATTTAAATGTCTATTTTATTCTAAATAAAGAGTGTACAGATGATATACAGCATACAATGTCTGAAGTCATGCTTCAATTAAGAGTGTGTACATGTTTCGAATGGCCATTTTTGTTGGCGCATGTAAAGAATGTTCAAATTAGGAGTGGTCAGAGTTGAAGTCCTGTCCTATATTCCTTTCTAGAAGCTTAATTAAGGCATTTAATAAGGTGTGTCTATGTTTAATAAGCCACAGGAGACCTTTCCATTGCCGAAAGAAATATTTAAAGTCAAAATCTGAGGTGCTACTTTTACTTTAAAGCAACTTTGTGTTGTACTCCTTGAAACAAATTTAAATAGTTTTAAAGTTTCTTAACTGTAATTGCAACTTCCCCAACTTTTATTTATTTTTAATATCAGAAAGTAGGCACAGGTGTTTGAAAATATATATTAAATATGTTAAAAGTAGTCTAAAAAAGTGTTTTACCATATTTAATATACATTTTAAAGTGTAAAAGACAAACCTTTCCTATATTCCTTTCTAGAAGTTTAAGGCATTTAATAAGTTGTGTCTCTGTTTAATAAGCCACAGGAGATCTTTCCACTGTTGAAAGAAACATTCAAAGTCAAAATCTGAGATGCTAGTTTTACTTTGAAGCCATTTGTGTTGTACTCATAAATAGTTTTAATGTTCCAACTGTAATTGCAACTTCTTAATTTTTTATAATTTTTTTACTATCAGAAAGTAGACATGGGTGTTTAAAAATATATATTGATTATGGCAAAAATAGTCAAAAAAAGTGTAAAAGATATTAGAATAGACAGTTAAAAAAAATTAAAATGTTCATAATTTATTTACTCTCTATTCACTTGGTTCAAACCTGTTTGAGTTGTTATTGGATACAAATATGATATTAAAGAAAGCTGGAAACCTTTCCTACTGTATATTTCATTCTAGAAGCTTAATTAAGACATTTAATGAGGTGCATCTATGTTTAATAAGCCACAACAGACCTTTCCACTGCTGAAAAAATATTCAGTCAAAATCTGAGATGCTACTTTTACTTTGAAGCCGCTTTGTGTTGTACTCATTGAAACAAATTTAAACAGTTTTAATGTTCCAACTGTAAATGCAAGTTCTCCAAATTGTATTTATTTTTAATATCAGAAAGTCCTGTGTGTTTAAGACGATTTTTATCATATTCAATATACATTTTTTTTGAAGTGTAAAAGACATTAGAAGGGATAGTTCAAACAAAAATCTTAATGTTCATAATTTATTTACTCTCCATTCACTTGGTCCAAACCTGTTTGAGTTATTATTGGATACAAAACGTGCTATTTTAAAGAAAGCTGGAAACCTTTCCTACTGTATATTCCTTTCTAGAAGCATAATTAAGGCATTTAATAAGGTGTGTCTATGTTTAATAAGCCACAACAGACCTTTCCAATGTGGATAGAAATATTCAAAGTAAAAATCTGAGATGCTACTTTTACTTTGAAGCCACTTTGTTTAGTACTCGTTGAAACAAATTTTAAGTTTTAATGTTCAACTGTAATTGCAACTTCTCAAACTTTTATTCATTTTTTACTATCAGAAAGTAGGCTCGGGTGTTTAAAATTGTATATTGAATATGGTAAAAAATAGTCTTAAAATGTAAAAGACATAAGAAGGGATAGTTCACCCAAAAATTTAAATGTTCATAATTTATTTACTCTCCATTCACTTGGTCCAAACCTGTTTGAGTTATTATTGGATACAAACCGTGCTATTTTAAAGAAAGCTGGAAACCTTTCCTACTGTATATTCCTTTCTAGAAGCATAATTAAGGCATTTAATAAGGTGTGTCTATGTTTAATAAGCCACAAGAGACCTTTCCACTGCTGAAAAAAATTCAGTCAAAATCTGAGATGCTACTTTTATTTTAAAACCACTTTGTGTTGTACTCATTAAAACAAATGCCAGTATGCTCATTAAAAAAGTCATGTGATTTTGTTATAGAAGATCATGTGGTGACGAAAATGTGTGTGAATGGATAAACCAGCAGCCTGAGCACATTGTAAAACATCTGAAATGTTGTTTTGGTCAAACTAAAACGGCAGTATTTGTGTTGTTATTTTTTTAATTACCTCCAGAATTATCTAGAGCGCCTGTGCTCAGGGTCTGACGCCTTCATACACCTCCAGGCATTCATTGCGTGTCAGCATAATGTCTTCAAAGGTGCAAGTCATTTATTAAATAAAAAACGATTCACGCAGCTTCTCCTACCCCAGCAAACTAGATCTTTACTTGTGATATTTGGCGCCAGTTAATCATGATGATTTTGCTTCCTTTGACTCACTGGATGGAAACACTGCTTCATTCGCATGTCGTATATTCAAAAAAGCTTTAGAAATGAAGATGAATTGAATCTATTTGAAGCATATACCATTTAAAAAACTTGAAAGATCAACATTACAATCAACGATCAGTAAAATAAACCAACCCGCCTTAAAGTGAAGATAAAAAAGACAGCCATGTCTGATTGATCCAATGCTTTCAAATGCATCTATACAGACAGGTCACACATTACAAACAAGCATCTGTTTGAGGTCTGCTTGTGAATTCGCTCTCTCTCTTTGAAGGTGAGAGGCTTTAATATGGTCTAGCACATGGAGACCGACTACAGTCCCCTTCTCTTTAAAGTTCAAGGATGCTCACTGATAGTGGCAGCGTTTAATGACGTTGTCTGCTCATAGCATGAGCTTGAGATGCACTTTTATTGCATTTCAAACCTTCAAATAAATCATCATAGCGCTTACTTTACTGTAAATACAAGATCAGTTAAATGATTAAGTCCTTTTTTAACATAATAGTATAGTTCAAACAGAACACAATATTGTGAGAGAGCAAAAAAAAAACACACCCTCATTCACAAAATCCTTTTTTTTTTGCGGGTTCATGCTTCCTTTTGCATTTCTCCCAGCTGTAATCGGAAACTTTAAGGCTTTTACCTGGAGCTGTCAAGAGAGACAAAGCAGTGGGGTGAGCATTTCAAAGCACAGGATATACAGTTTGCAATTGTCTCTTTCCCATCCATGTGCCTCGGCTGGTATTGGAGAGGCTTTCTCCCAGCTTTTGTCAATACCGTCAACAGCTTGAAGACCACAAACATCTGTGGGAGGAATCCCGAGCTGCACAAAGGTGCAAAAGAAACCCAAACCTCGAAAGTCTAGCATACAGTCGAGCAGTTAAGTCTTTTGAGTTTGGCAGCATGGTCGAGGCCATTTGATCTGCTTCACTAAGAGGAATCAATGTGTTCGGCAGAAATCATAAGTAAACATGAGTGTGAAAAGGTGGATTTCCGTCCTTTTTTCAAGCTAGGCACAATAAAGCAGCAATACCAGGGCTTCTGAACATAGCAGTGTGAATGTTTGTGAACTGCCCCTAAAGCCTGCTTCACTTTGAAGTTGAGATCAGTCAACACTTCGCGGCACATACTATTTTTCAGCAAATAGTTAAGTAACTGGGGCTCACACGCAGAGTTACTCAGACACATCAATGTGAAATGAGCATTTACCCTCAAATGTGTGTGCCGTTGAAGGTAGTCTGGCTGCTTTCGACAACAACCACTTGCAAAGTGAATGGGACGCGAGGCTGTATGTGTAGAACTATCCCATTTAATAACATTTTGTTGATTAATCTATAGGTTTGATTGACAGTTTAATTACATTAAAAGACATCTATCTATCTATCTATCTATCTGTCTGTCTGTCTGTCTGTCTGTCTGTCTGTCTGTCTGTCTGTCTGTCTGTCTGTCTGTCTGTCTGTCTGTCTGTCTGTCTGTCTGTCTGTCTGTCTGTCTGTCTGTCTGTCTGTCTGTCTGTCTGTCTGTCTGTCTGTCTATCTATCTATCTAGTAAAATATGCAGGGTTCCACACAATCGATTCGAATCAAGTTAACTTATTAGTCTTAACAAATTTACGTGGATGGAACATATAATTAAGTTAGCCTCCACAAAAAACTCAACAGTTGGGTTGTTTCAGCTCATTTAAAATAAGTAGTTTGAGCAAACATTATTTTGTAAATCTATGAATTTACAAAAAAGGGAATAAACTCACTGCCTTAAGTCAGCTCAACTTAGCAGTTCCAAATCACGAGTTTACTCAGTTTTTTCAAATAAAGTCAACTTGTCACTTTTAAAACCAGTTCACTTCACCAGACTCACTTTTCGTGAAGTTACTTATCATTTTTACACTATCTGCATTGAAATGCATAAGCAATCTTACAAAATTTTGCGACGTATGATAAAAGTTTGAAATAGGGCTGCACGATATTGGAAAAATCAAATATTGCGATATATTATTTTCCTGCAATATGAATACAGTTTCACAAGATAGTTTAATAAGCACTATTTGACGATTTTCTAGTGAGCCTAACAGTATTCTGGTTTAGAAATGGAATAATTACAATGCAATAAATGCTTTGCTTAGTCTTGTTTTTAGTACACATATCAAAAAATACTTAGATCAAGTAAACATTTTGTTATAAATTAAGAGTTTTTCCTTAAAAACAAGCAACATTATCTGCCAGTGGGGTGAGTATATATATATATATATATATATATATATATATATATATATATATATATATATATATATATATATATATATATATATATATATATATATATAGATTCAGTTGTGATTATCATGCCAATGATTCGGTTCAATTCGATATCTCGGTGCATCACGGTGCATTGACGATGCTTTCCATACACATTTTTTTTCACAACACGAGTATTAACCAGAGACCACGAGAACAGAATGCGTCCTGTA